TTAGGGTCATTGTCCTGCTGGAAGGTGAACCTCCGTCCCAGTCTCAAATCTCTGGAAGACTGAAGCAGGTTTCCCTCAAGAATTTCCCTGTATTTAGCGCTGTCCATCATTCCTTCAATTCTGACCAGTTTCCCAGTCCCTGCCGATGAAAAACATTCCCACAGCATGATGCTGCCACCACCATGCTTCACTGTGGGGATGGTGTTCTCGGGGTGATGAGAGGTGTTGGGTTTGCGCCAGACATAGCGTTTTCCTTGATGGCCAAAAAGCTCAATTTGAGTCTCATCTGACCAGAGTACCTTCTTCCATGTGTTTGGGGAGTCTCCCACATGGCTTTTGGCAAACACCAAATGTGTTTGCTTATTTTTTTCTATAAGCAATAGCTTTTTTCTGGCCACTCTTCCGTAAAGCCCAGCTCTGTGGAGTGTACGGCTTAAAGTGGTCCTATGGACAGATACTCCAATCTCCGCTGTGGAGCTTTGCAGCTCCTTCAGGGTTATCTTTGGTGTCTTTGTTGCCTCTCTGATTAATGCCCTCCTTGCCTGGTCCGTGAGCTTTGATGGGCGGCCCTCTCTTGTCAGGTTTGTTGTGGTGCCATATTCTTTCCATTTTTTTTATAATGGATGTAATGGTGCTCCGTGGGATTTTCAAAGTTTCTGATATTTTTTTATAACCCAACCCTGATCTGTACTTCTCCACAACTTTGTCCCTGACCTGTTTGGAGAGCTCCTTGGTCTTCATGGTGCCGCTTGCTTGGTGGTGCCCCTTGCTTAGTGGTGTTGCTGACTCTTGGGCCTTTCAGAACAGGTGTATATATACTGAGATCATGTGACAGATCATGTGACACTTAGATTGCACACAGGTGGACTTTATTTAACTAATTATGTGACTTCTGAAGGTAATTGGTTGCACCAGATCTTATTTAGGGGCTTCATAGTACGCACCACTTTTCCATTATTTATTTTTTTCTAATTATTTGAAACAAGTTATATTTTTCATTTCACTTCACCAACTTGGACTATTTTGTGTATGTCCATTACATGAAATCCTAATAAAAATCCATTTAAATTACAGGTTGTATGTCACGCCCTGACTTATGGGACTCTAGTATGTTGAGTCAGGGTGTGGAGTTCTATGGTGTTATTTCTATGTTTATGTTCTAGGTGTTGTATGTCTATGTTTGGCCGGGTGTGATTCCCAATCAGAGGCAGCTGTCGCTCGTTGTCTCTGATTGGGGATCATACTTAAGTAGCCTGTTGGCAATCAGTTGTTGTGGGATCTTGTTCCGTGTAGAGGCTTGTATTGTGTTTAGCCTGAGGACTTCACGTTACGTTGTTTTGTTTGTGTGTTTATCTTTATAATAAACATGTATGCATTTCACGCTGCGCCTTGGTCTGACCCGTCCTTCAACGAACGTGACATTGTAATGCAACAAAATAGGAAAAAACGCCAAGGGGGATGAATACTTTTGCAAGGCACTGTATTTTAGCTTTGCTGATAACAAACAGCTTTTTTATGCATTACTCATGTTAATAATTATATTGACTAAAGTGACTTCTTCGTCAGTAGGAGGCAGTATAATTCTCAACTGTGAGATAGATTACCTGCTATATAGGCTATAACCTATTTCTTTCCGTATTGATTCTCTTTTCGTTTTGTTCCACTAAGAGGCACTTGTCATGAAGCAGAATATTTCATCTGAAACTAAATGAAAATCAAAGATTGGGTTTCAATATATTGCCAAGGCTGCACTGCAGCGTTTACTCACAGGTGCTATCCCACTACTGGACGGCACAGGGGATTTGACCTGCTTCGTTTCCGACCTGGGCCGGTGCACCCCTCCTTAGATGACCTGGTGGTCATACCAATACCGTACTTGGTGTGGACACCCGTTTAACATAGCATACTACAGCCAACAGATACTTGAATTACATACACGCACCATTGCACCTGGCAAGAAACTCAGCTGCAGGTGATAAATGGAGTAGTCTGTGACATTATTTCCAAGCAAGGCCGTAGGCTAAAGTTTTTTATTTTTATTTTTTTTATTTCACCTTTATTTAACCAGGTAAGCCAGTTGAGAACAAGTTCTCATTTACAACTGCGACCTGGCCAAGATAAAGCAAAGCATTGCGATAAAAACAACAACACAGAGTTACATATGGGGTAAACATAACATAAAGTCAAAAATACAACAGAAAAAATATATACAGTGTGTGCGAATGTAGTAAGTTATGGAGGTAAGGCAATAAATAAATAGGCCATAGTGCAAAAATAGTTACAATTTCGTAATTAACACTGGAATGATAGATGTGCACAAGATGATGTGCAAATAGAGATACTGGGGTGCAAATTAGCAAAATAAATAACAATATGGGGATGAGGAAGGAGTGATACTGGGGGCTACAGGGCCTGGGTTAACCTCTACATCACCAGAGGAACAGAGGAGGAGTAGAATAAGGATACGGCTAAAGGCTTTAAGAACTGGTCTTCTAGTGCGTTGGGTACAGAGAAAAAAAGGGGCAGATTTCCGGGCGTTGTAGAATAGATTCAGGGCATTATGTACAGACAAGGATATGGAAGGATATGAGTACAGTGGAGGTTAACCTAAGCGTTGTGTAACGATGAAAGAGATAACATCACTGGCGGCACCGATTGAGTTTGTCTCCGCATGCATGGGGGGTGGGACAAAGGAGCTATCTAAGGCAGGGTGAGCTGGGCTGGGGGATCTACAGTGAAATAGTACAATAAGAAATAACCGAAACAGCAATAAGCAAGGCATATTGACATGGGAGAGAGGCATAAAGCAATCACAGGTGTTATTCGAGAGAGCTAAGACAACAGCTGGAAATGGCGACAAAGTTTGGGCTGAGGCTAAACATAAACAGGATGCGGTACCGTATAAAGGAACAGTCCAGCAGGCATCAGCTGTATAGCTGAGTTATCATTAGGTCCGGTGAACAGCAATAGGAGAGTTCGGAGGTAGTTCGGGGGCTCCTACAGCACTGGCGAGCAAGAGGCCATGGCTTGCGTGTGCTAGCAGGAAAAAACTATTAATTAAACAAAATCAAGGAATTTCTCCATGCTGACTTCATTCACAATGGACAGAAAGAAAAAATAAACTTAGCATACACATCAACCAAGGTTTGCTTATTTGATATCTGAATGCCTACAGCATCCCCCCCCCAAAAAAAAGGTGTGTAAAAAGATACAAAAACATGAGAATATACAGTGGGCTCCAAAGTTACTGGCACCCCTGACTGGCAATGCACAAACAATACTTTAAAAAATATAAACAATATAATTATAGAGAGAAACTCAAAATACCAACATGTGAGAAATACTGTACTATATTAATGTTCCAATGGAACCCACCAAAATAATTTATTGATTTAATTAATTAAAAATCAATGTCCTCCAAATCAAGGTTACACAATTAATGGCACCCTTAAAGGTTATTGTAAATAACATCTACCAAAATTAAACCAGGAATTAAATTCCACTTATTTAAGTTTATCTAAGTCTTAAGGAACTATATTGAGCCATTACATCACTTCCTGTTTCACTAGGGTATAAAAATGAGGTAACACGCATGCAATATCTCTTTGTCATCCAACACCATGAAGAAAACAAAAGAACTGGCAGTTCAAAAGAGACAGATGGTTGTAGACCTTCATAAATCTGGTAATGGCTACAAGAAGATACACAAACAATTGAATATACCCCTGAGCACTGTCAGGGCAATTATTTAAAAAAAAATAAAAGATATGGAACAGTTGAAAACCTCACGGGTAGAGGACGCAAATGCATTTTGCCCCCCAGGATAGGGAGGAGGATGGTGAGAGAAGCAACAAAATCCCCAAGAATCACTGTGAAAGAATTGCAGGCCTTGATGGCATCTTGGGGTCACCAGGTTTCAAAAAGTACCATCAGACGCCACCTCCACAACCACAGGCTCTTTTTGGAAGGGTTGCCAGAAGAAAGCCCTTTCTGACCCTAAGACACAGACGCAAGCGCTTGGAGTTTGCCTACCATCATTTAAATTATGACTGGAAAAAGGTGCTCTGGTCATATGAGGCCAAAATTGAACGTTTTGGTCAGATACAGTATCGGCATGTTTGCCGTCGAAACAGAGATGCATACAAGGAGAGACACCTCATACTCACGGTGAAATATGGTGGTGGGTCAGTAATGTTTTGGGGCAGTTTTAATTCCAGAGGTCCAGGGGCACTGGTTAAGATTGATGGCATAATGAATTCCACCAAGTATCTTCCAATTTTGGCTGACAATCTGGTTGCCTCTGCCAGGAGGCTGGGACTTGGCCGTAGGTGGATGACCCAAAACATACCTCAAGATCCACACAGAAATGGTTCTGTGACAACAAAATCAATGTTCTGCTATGGCCATCTCAGTCGCCGGACCTCAATCCAATCAAAAATCTGCGGGCTGAGTTGAATAGGGCAGTTGATAAGCGCAAACCCAAGAATGTGAAGGATCTTGAAAGGATCTGCATAGAGGAATGGTCCAAAATCCCTCCAAATGTGTTCCTTAACCTTGTCAAATAATACAGGAAAAGACTCCATGCTGTTACCCTTGCCAGAGGTGGTTGCACTAAGTACTAAATGAGGATTGCTATTAATTATGAAACCTTGATTTTGGTGACATTTATTTTGTATTAAATAATTGTATGATTTTGGTTGGTTCCATTGAAACATTAATAAAGTGCAGTATTTCTCACATGTTGGTATTTAGAGTTTATCTCTATAATTATATTGTTTCTATTTTTTTAAGTATTGTTTGTGCATTGTCAGTCAGGGGTGGCAGTAATTTTGGAGCCCACTGTAACTATGAATTAATACATCTTCCACACTATGCACTAAAAGAGATGAACATCAATTGTAAAAACATTTATAATGTCCTCTGTTACTCAATCAATAAAGCTACAGACGGTTTGAAAGTCTTAGTCCAGCACAGGAAGAAGAGTGAGGAACAAGGGGTCATTCCTCCAGGACCTGAAGCTCAATACCAGAGGCTTCTTCTATACAGAGAACAAAACAACAACACACACATCAGACAACATGTCTCACCATTCATTCTATAGCAGACTGTACAGATGAAATAGTTAATAGGGGTTTAGATGGACAAGATGATTATGCTAAGTAACTATTCATAACCTGATTCCTTTTCAGTTCACACATCTGAAGATCAGAATACGTGAATGTAATTTCTTGTATGCTCCATATGTTCTATGGATTGATGGAACCATTCATAATGTTTAGGTCTATACAGTATTTTCAGATCTGTGAACACTGATGTTGTGGGAGCTAGGTGGGAGGAGTTAGGAACCTAAATGGAACTGGACCAATGCCTGTGACTCTCACCTGCTTGTGGGTGCAGAGCCTTGGGTGGGCGGTTCCTCCTTGTTGTGTGAATAGTGACTATGGCAGCCATGATGGTCAGTGCCAAAAAGAGCATGATGTGACTGATGGGCAACTTAACAGCATTACTGGTACCTGGACAATGAGACAGACAGTGATTAAACACAGTCAATCGTTTAGATTGATTTTTATGAAAGTAAAGTTTGTATCACACAGCAGTCAATAGAGGATGTTGAAGACCAATATCCATTAGCCAAACACCTCTACAACTGCACCTTTTTCTGAACACCAAAGATTAGCGTTTAAATTTGTGCATAATGGATTACGATTGTTCACACCATCCACTAAATAATTTTAAGGTTATATAACACCTTAAACCTGAAGTAGTGGTATTTGGCATCACAGAGAAGCAGAAATTCGCACAGGAAAAGAGAAGTTTGAACGGCACCACAGCCAAGTGAAAAAATGGAATATGAAAGTTAAGTTTCATGTACAAATACATGCTTTGTGTATTACATTTTAGTCATTTAGCAGACGCTCTTATCCAGAGCGACTTACAGTTAGTGAGTGCATACATTATTTTTTGATTTTTCATACTGGCCCCCCCGTGGGAATCGAACACGCAACTCTGGCGTTGCAAACACCATGCTCTACCAACTGAGCTACATCCCTGCCGGCCATTCCCTCCCCTGGGCCAATTGTGCGCCGTCCCGTGGGTCTCCCGGTCGCGGCTGGCTACGACAAAGCCTGGATTCAAACCAGGATCTCTAGTGGCACAGCTAGCACTGCGATGCAGAGCCTTAGACCACTGCGCCACTCGGGAGGCTCCTAGTGTATCGACCAAGGTAATACATCTGACTTTGGCCCAATGCTGTACCACTCATACAATCTACCATACAACTGAGAATGGAAATAGTATCAAATACAATACCAGCAGAAGATGGGGAGGTGGCTGACAAGGCTGGTCCTGCAGTAGAGGCTGTACTGGATAGTTCTTGAAAACAAACAGGGTGACCACTTTTCATTGGTGAATAAGGGTGACATCACAGTACAGAATGGATCCACATCCACTGACTCACTCTATGTTGCCTGTAGAGTTTTCTCTACTGCAATCTGCTAAATCTTTCTCCAATCTCTAGAGCACTAGACAAGCAGTACTTCCTATAAATATGTTTGGGGCTGTTTTTACATTACAAGTCTAACTTAGACTGTTGCTTAGTACTGGTGGTTGTCTTGACAGGAATTAGAGTAGTTACATCAGAACTGTCAGAAAAACATAAAATCAAGTGTATTTCTCGACCCAGAAAAAGGTATACAATACTTGCTGGCTGTTTTGCACATGATTATAAACACTACACTGCACAGTGACATTTAAGCTCTGCTTTAAACAGTAATACTCACTGATTAGAACAGACAGTTTAACAGGAGCATCACCTCCATGTTGTTGTCCACCCTCTGTAAGGAACTGTCGACATGTGTAGATTCCAGCATCCTCATCTCTGACATCACTGACATTTAGAGAACAGTCAGACCCTAAACTCAATCTCTCTACTCTCTTTGTCTTGTCAACTCTGATCTTCCCAAATTCGACCTCTTCAATATTAACATCAGACACAGTTTTGCTATAGATCCATGTAGTTGAGGAACAGTTTGGATAAACCACATTGGTACACAGCAGACTGACATCATCTCCCACTCTGGAGAACATAGAGGGAGTTTCTCCACTGACACCTGGAAGGAGTATGACATCAGATTATTATTTACTGGTAATACAGATTACATTATATTTCATAGGTATTCTTATTGATATTCTTCACAGGTGTACTGAATAATAATAAAGTAATTATATATACAATAGTGAAGATAAAAGTAGACAGAAAAACATTGTCCTCTCTCTCTCTCTCTCTCTCTCCCCTCTGTCAGAGTGTCTCTGCACTATACATTTCTCACCATACAGCAGCATCTCTATTCACCACTATTGCATCACTTCCTCGAAGCAGTCATGTTTTTTTCTCTAGTTTCTGACACCTTGGTGAGAATGGTCCAGCTCACAAGCAGTTGAAGGCCTTCTTCACATGTGTGAGAGTCTCTAGTGATGATGTAGTGTTGTAGTGATTTGATTGGTTAATCTGATTTGGTACTCCTCCGTTCCTCAAATGCTGTGTACATGCTGCCTTTCTTTAAATTGTTTACAGGATGGAAATAAGTCAAGTGACATAGTCAACATGTCAACATGACATATCAGTGGAATCAAGTCTCTTGTCTCTCCAAGGACTTGGAAGGCATTCAGAGACGCTGCTGCTGCATCATTGGCACTTCCTACAACTCACTCCCAAGGCCTTCAATATCCTCCTGTATGACCACACAAGCCACACTACCAGACATGTGATAAGACCATTTATTGATTTGGTGTTGTGTGTGACTTTTGGGGAGGGTAGCTCCCGCTCAGCCCAGTCAAAGCTCTTCTCTGTCCTGGGACCCCAATGGTGGAACCAGCTTCCCCCTGAAGCTAGGTCAGTAGAGTCCTTGCCCACCTTCCGAAAACATCTAAAACCCTTCCCTTTCAAAGAGTATCTTAAATAATCCTACATGACCCCCCCTTCTCTTTTTTTTCCCTAACTAGCTCTGCCATTGCTGGTAGCTACTTTATTGAGGAAAAATGTACTTACTATGACTGTGATAGTATGTGGTTTTTCCACCTAGCTATCTTAAGATGAATGCACTAACTACTAAATGACTCAACTGTAAATGTACATGTATAATGGCCTTCTGATGAAGCTACTGATCAGCACTGCTCTTCTCGTGACTGGTAGACATTTCAGTAACATCTCAAACACTGTGTTACTCTCTCATGTCCAAAACACAAGTTCAGCACTGTGTTTAACAAAATGTGCCCAAATGAAACATTTTCTAATTAGAGACATATTCTGTCTATCAAGGTGTCAGACACTCTCTGTGTACTCCAGAGTGGGAGATGATGTCAGTCTGCCATGTAACAATGTGGTTTTTCCAGACTGCTCCTCAACTACATGGAACTATAACAGCGATGCATCTACTGGTACTATTGAAGAGGTCAATGGGGGAGGTCAGGAAAGGAAAACAACTCAACAGAACAGACAGACTGAGTCTTGGGTCTAACTTTTCTCTACATGTTAGTGATGTCAGAGCTGAGGATGCTGGACTCTACACCTGCCAAGAGGACCTTAAGAATGGAACCAAACGTGGAGTGGATGAAGCTTTTTATTTGTCTCTTCTAAATAGTGAGTATTATTGTTTGAATACATTAAGCTTGGTATAGTAGATGTATTTGTGACAGTAAACTATCTTCTTTTCTTTCACAGTCTCCCAGTCCACATCAATGACAGATATGAAATGAAGCCTGATGGAACAATGAAATTAACATGCTCTCTTCACACCTATTATGGAAAGTGTAACTCACACATCATTAGTGGTGTTACTCTGAGCTGGGTGGATGAGACAGGTACTGATCTGCAGGGAGACTCCAGAATGTTCTCCTTGTGACATCACTCTGACTGTGACACTCCAGAAGGAGGACAAAAACAGGAAGTGGACGTGTCAGCTGACTAAAAGGGGAAAAGTTGAGACCTCCATTGACTTCACCTCCACATTCTCAGGTATGTATTCTTGTTATGCTCCTATAACTTCACCAGATGTAATGACATTAAAGTGAATGTCAAACCTGATCCTTTCTCCTGATATTAGTGATATTAATGAACAAACATACTGCTCTCTACTGTATGTGTCTGATGATGAAGAGTTATTTAAAAGAGGGTGTTATTCTCCTAGTCTAAGTCTACTCTTAGTGTATGGCTGCATTTCATTCCAAAACATGGTTCCCTTCTTTCTTCCCTCATTCACTCCCCTTCATAGATTTCAGACTGGTGGTCGTAAGCAGTTGTTCCATCTAGTTTCCCGTCATATTTCTTCCACATATCCAATCCTACCAGAGTTAAAGAGGGCAAAAGGGAGGGAACATTCACATCTATCAGGAATGAAACACAGCCTTTACCTTTGCTGGAATCAGCAGTAAACTGGTGTTTTTATCAGGGGTGACTGAGGTGTAAAAACTGTGCTTCATTTCTACCATAACCCCTGACCTCTGACCCCTGGGTTAACCCGACAGGACCCCATGCCAGAGAGCAGGATCCACAACTACATGTACCAGCTCTGAAAGTCTCTGGACCACATGCACAGGTAATCACAGGTCCTGTGTAGCTCAGTTGGTAGAGCATGGCGCTTGCAACGCCAGGGTTGTGGGTTCAATTCCCACGGGGGTCCAGTATGAAAAATGTAAGTCGCTCTGGATAAGAGTGTCTGCTAAATGTGTAAAATGTAAATGTTATGGCATAGGAGAACAGGCTCATTTCTGATACGTGTGTGTCATTTCAGTTGATTACTCTGACATGTAGATTCTCCTCACAGTCATGGTCTCTTCCAACGGGATGTCAAACTAGAGAATATTAAGGTGAGACAGATTCCCACAGACATAGATCTATTGAGTTGGGAGGAGAACTCCACAGCACTTAGAATGCCTTGACACACACTCAGTTACTATACTTCATTTTTTAGTCACTATTTTCTGTAAATGGATGTTCAGTAAAATGTTTCTTTATCATTTAAAAGCCACACATTCCAGCCTTCATCAGCAAGCTTCATACAGTACCTGGTGGTAGTCCAGTATAGCACATGCAATAGTAGTGCTCTGTGTCTTTTCCCCTAAACAGAAGGACACTCTGAAGCTGAGGGACTTTGACTTGTGTAAGAGTGTTTATGCCCGCCCTACACAGAGTAAATCTCTACACGTTGGTACAGAGCCCCAGAGTGCCTCCTAACGGACGGACACTACTCTCACAAGATGGACGTCTGGAGCTCCGGCTGTGTCTTCTACAAGATCATCAGGTATTGATTCATTATGTATTAATGGGGTAATAGTATCTCTTCCACTGTAGTACAGGTGTGTCTTCAAGAGCTGTAGCCTCCAGGGTTGTGTCTTGTACAAGATCATAAGGAACCAATCATAATTTACTCTGACAGACGTACCTGTGTTTCACCACTAGGTGGTGCCATATAACTAGTTGAAGGGAAGTGGGATCCTCTACTTTCCCAAACCTAGTCCTTACTTGTTTACTGTAAATGGGTGCGTCCCAATAATATCTCCTTTCTCCTGAAGGGTGCATTCGTTCACTACTTCCCACAAATCAAAAATCATTGGATTGGTGGAGGCATGGGCTAGTGGGAGTTTCCACCACTATAAAGTATGGATCATTGGGACATAGCTTGTGTAACCCCCCCCTCCACCCTCTCAGTTTGATTACGCGAGACCTTCCACTCTTCCTGTCCCTTGCAACCTCTGGCCTCTCTTTCCTGGGTCAAACGAGCTGGACCAGGTCTCAAAGATCCATGATGTCCTGGGAACTCCCAAAGTAGCTGTCCTCCGCAAATTCAAGCCGTGAGTGGAGCAGACCTCTTGTCATGACGCTAAATGATTTAGCTAACATATTATAACTACTGCTACTTTGTTATTGGTAGAAGTCCCTGCCTGTGTATAGCCTAACTTTCAGCAGAGTACTATCATCAACCTCAACAACAGCAGTGATATTCTGTCAGTTTCTGAAAAAGGGACTATTTCCCCTTCAGCCAGGTCTCGTACGATGCCCTTCAACTTCCAGCGGAGGACAGGTAGTGGTCTGTCCGAGCTGCTCCCCAGTGTTCTGAGAGCAGTCTGTTTCTGCTGCACGGCATGCTGGAGTATGACCCTGATGACCTCTTCAGTTCCAGAGCCGCCCTGCAACACACCATCTTCAGAGAACAACTGTGAGTCTCTGTGGGACATGGCTAGTCTATGTCCCTATTCCCTAAGTAGTGCACTGCTTTTGACCAAGGCCCATAGGTAATGCACTACACTATATAGGGAATAGGGTTTCATTTGGGACGCACACAAGACAGGTTCATATATATTTTACCATCTCTCCTTTTCAGAGAACTATATTTAATACTGTCCACATACAGTATAGGCCTGAATAATGTCTTACAGTACAGATTGCAGTCCTCTTAGGGTCCACACTTGATCTGGATGAACGTGCCAAGCTGATTGAAAAGCAAAGCTAATCATGTTACTAGGCCCACAGTTGAACTTGGAATGTATTAATGCAGTGTGATGTGGCGACTCATGTACAGTGTGTGTGTGTGTGTGTGTGTGTGTGTGTGTGTGTGTGTGTGTGTGTGTGTGTGTGTGTGTGTTGTTCCATGGCAGGCTGGCAGACAGAAGAGCTGCAGCTCTGAGACAAGACAGCAGGACCCTAGAGGGCCTCCAACACACCCAGTGCTGGGGACCACCCTAGGCATGGCAGATGACTGGTGACCCCTCACATACACACTGACAAGTCAACCCATGTGTGGCACTCATGTATGCTAATCTAGCACTGTAGCCTACTGTACACTGACATCCCTACAGCCATTATACTTCACCTTCAACACCCTCTCTAACAGAGCCTGTCTACCTCGCTCTCCCAGCTCCAGATGGCCCTGTGCTATGCGGTGGAGTTACCCAAACTGAGTGTAGCTTTCCCCCCAGCACCGCCAGGACCCATCGTGAACGCCTCCCTGCCATCATAGACCTGCCGCTCACCGCGACAGAAGCAGGTCAGTGGTCAATACTTTAAACATGCATCTTTCCCCCCTTAACCTCCCTTTCCTTGATCTCCACTATAAAAAGCATCTAGACATTATCTCACATTTCTTTTAGACTAACATTTACTTTTCAACAGCGAAGATTTGTATAAACCTTGCTGTCTGTCTCTCCGACATTTGAAACATTGTTTCAATATCCAAATTCGATCTCCAGATGTCCCATAGTAATGAATGTGTCGGGAGTCAGGACAAGACACAGGCAGGTAGCGTTTCTCAGCCAGTCTAAATCATGAATCAGCTGGCATCATTTTTATGGATATATACAAAGAAATGTCAATTGAAAAAAGGTCAAACGAAACGAAGCGCAGCTAGTTTGCTGACTTTCCAGCTTCAGTTTGAAGTGATTGTGTTAGCTGTGTTATTGGCTAGCTCCTCTGAACAACAGTGTCCTGACGAGAGAGCACATTTTCTATGCCAAGCGAAATCGCGCCTCATTACCTCATTGTTATGGATGTGTCCAAATAAACATCACTAGAAAACAGATTAAATGCAAATGCAGCTACTGTTGTTATTCGGGCTGCACTGTTTGACGTGACTGTAAGTTAGCTAGCTAGCATTAAGCAAGGGGTACGAATGTTGCCAGCCGGTATGGCAATAGGACATTTAGAGCGAACGACTGGGTTGTGTCCATAGATACAGAACAAAAATACTTAACGACTGGGTCGTGTCTCTGGCAACCAAACCGATAGAAGAAACGACCAGCCGGCTTGGGTAGCAACCCTAGATTTGTGTCAGGACTATATATTGTGAAAGGATTAAATAGTATTAATAAATTCATCAAAATAACGCTTTTAATGAAAATATGTCAATCATTATTTGAATATGTTGATAACCTATTGTATAAAAGTGATAATGCCCTCGAAGCCAGTGTTTGGATGTTATATTGGCACGGTTTGCCCCAACAACACTGTGCCAATATATCCTCCAAACACCAGCTTCTCTGGCATTATTACTTAAATATTGTACTTGTTAGGTGACGCCAGAGGCATATTTCCATCTCTGTAAGGACAACAAAGTTATATTCTACCCTATTCTGATAAAGATAATTGTAGGTTCTGTCTACCTGTCCCTCTAGCCCAGAGAGGAGTCCCATCACCAGGCCTTGGACAGCTGTACCATGCCCCCCCCCCCCCCCCCCCCCCCAGCTAGCACTAGTGGAGGGGGACACAGAGACCCAAAACACTGACAGCCTCACTACTCCCAGGCCCATAATGCTTAAGCTGGTGGTGTGGGAGGTGGAGACACAATGTGGTGGTTTAATACAGGTTCCAAGAAACCATTAGTTCAGCTCTTTTAGAGCCACAACTAAGTTATTAAACAGTTGGTCAAACTGACTTGTGTTCAGACTCAAGACTGATTTAATTTGAATTAACTACTTAGGTCTCTTGTGCCCATACAATACTACTAAAACAAGCAGTGCTATAGCTAAACTCATGATTACCATAGCACAACAATTTTGTTTTATTCAAGTGAGAAACATTTAGAGGAAATTCCTCTGGTGACTGACTGTCCATTCAGTCCACTAGTAAAGACTGGAGGTCAGAGACAACAAGGTCTGTCAAAGCTGTTTAATAGGAGTCACATGGAGAAAAAAAACACTCCCACTGTTAGACCTTGGATAATCCTTCCACTGCCTACCTGGGTGCTTCACACACTCCCTCTTCTCTTGGGGTGGCTTCAGGGAGGTGAAACGTTCAGGGGAGAATTTCCCGGAAGCTTCGTAGAGCTAAGATCCTCCTTATAGAAGTCCATTGTAGGTAATGGTTGAAAGATGACCTTAGTACTACGAAGCTTTTAGAAATGTAATGAATAGACGATTCGATTCATATCTTTTTACACAATACATTTCAATGTGAACATTTTGCAATGTTTCACTCCCCTGAGATAGCCCCAGCACTCATACCACCATCAAGTATTGACGTTTATAAACACAGTGTCAGTTGTCTAGTTCACACACATTTTCGACATCAGTCCTGTCGTCATACCTCACGTAGCGCCATAGTCCACACACAACCATAACACCGGTTCAGTCATATTTGTTATATACTAGGTAGGTAAGTGAATTCACACAGATGTTTTGTGTACTGGTGCCTATTAATGGGTGAGAGTACTATGTCAGCAGTAGTCTTCCGTGTTTTACCTGAGCTCTGAGTGATGGCTGAATTAGACGGCTCCTATCTTAGCCTACGGCCCGGTCCTAAATCAACCTCTAGCACCTACGACCTGTGCCCTTGTGCAGATCTGAGAGGACTGGACAGATATATAAGCAATATGGTGAAAATTGAATCAAGTCTTTCAGGGAAAGGTGGAGCTATTTCTACATTGCCCATACCTACCTAATCCGGGTCTCCACAAGTGCACAGGGTACAGGGGTGGATTTGGGACTGGACATACCTGTCGACATAGAGTGGTCTGCAGCGACAGGCTAGCTTTCAGCACTACCTATTAGATAGAGGTTTCCATGGAGACAACCAAACATTTCATTAAGAAAAATACACCTGAATTCTCTTTATGTACAACAGAAAAGAAAAAACAACCTGCATATTCAAGATTAATTTTTAATATTATTATGTATATATTTTCTGCATTAGAAATATCACTATTTTCTGAAATGAAGAACTTCCAACTTGTGTAATAATGATCATTTCACCCATAAATCATTGAAGTACAATATTTACATATAATACAGAGCCCATTTTTAAATCTGAAATAATATTAAAATAAATGTTCAATAGATATAAAAGGTTTTATTTCTATTTTTAACAACCTTGTCGGGGGAGTCCTTGCACACTCCAAAATTGTAAAGCCATTCTCTTCTAACTATTAAGTGCAAACAATTCTCTTTTTTCTCCTTCTTTAAAACCCTATGATTGCAGCATCCAGACAGAGAGATGCCTCGCCGCAACCCAAGTGCATCCAAAGGCTGTCTGAAAAACATCTTGTTTTTTTGTCCCATCATCATTATGAATTAAAAATTAACAGAAAACAGAAACAATAAGAAGAAAAAAAATCAGTGCAAAATACTCAAGCTATGATGTTCTGATTTAAATTAAAAACTTTTTTTTATTTTCTTGTAGTTAAAGGAAGCGAACTGCTCCGGTCTCCCTTTGCTGTGAACATGAGATCAAACTGCACCAGGGTTAGTCAGGGATGAGGGACTAGCGAGAAGAGATAGCACCTGTCCCAAAACACCCCCTAACCCCTAGGCACTCTGGTAGATCTGTGGACTGGATAGGGGAAGAAATGTGGCTACTACCATATTGATTAAACATAACCAAGTCTTTCAGATCTACACAAAGTGTCTTGGAGGTAGTAGTGGCTAGGGGTTGTTTCTGGACCGGGCTAGAGAGGAAGAGAGGTGGAAACAAATTAAACACAGCCCAGCCAGCCTCCTGTCCCTGAACAACAAGCTTCCTGCATGATCCTTTACACCCCTTTCAGACTCTGGGCCACTCCATTTACCCTCACTGGCCCACGTTAGCTATCTATCTTTCTATCTAAAGATGAACAGAACGAAAAGAGACCTTCAGTGGTGGTGAAGGTGTGAGAGAGTGAAGAACAGCACTACAGGGCTGTGGCGAGGTGTGGCCAGGTCATCCTGTCCCGTCCTGTGTCTGTGGTCTGGTGGAGCTTGGTGTAGTTTAACAGCACTAGCACCAGGGCTATACTACAGTCCCACTAGGAGAGTTGGCCGGGTTCTGAGATGGCAGTAAGCCCTGCAGAGGAGGAGGGGAGAGTGGGATGAGTTAGAGGAGGAGACTCAGAAAGGAAAAACTATTTGAATTGAAACTTGTATCATCAATGGGAAACGGTAGGTTTCATCATCATCATAAAAAAGGAAAACATTTTTAGCACCAAAACAATTCCATACCAACATTTCTAAACGGCCAATTAAGATCCTGGATTGATAACCAGCCTTGTAAGGGTATCACAGTAGGCAAAAGAGGACGCTGCATAGCAAACCTAAACCACCAATCACAGTCAATCAACATTTTCAGAGATCTATGAGAAGAGTCTAGGTGCTGGATGTCCAACTATAGTGTCTCAAAACCCATTGGAGGAGAAGGTCAGAGGGAGGCACCTCTGGCTTTCTCATCCAATGGGTTTTGAGAAGGAGGCGAGGAGTATGCTATTGAGATCTTCCCTAGGGGTTGGAAGTGTCTAGGGGTTTAGACTCACCATTTTCCTGGGCCTTGCCCATGTGTCTAGGGGGGTAGGTGTTAGGGTGTAGGGTCTAGGGGTTGGATGTGTAACAGACTCACCCCTTTCCCAGGCCTGGCATAGTGTTGAAAGGGGTAGGGGTTTAGACTCACCACTTTCCCAGGTCTGGCCCATGTGCAAATGAAGCCCTCCTGGCAGGCTGTGACCAGACAGTCCTCCAGGAAGATTAACACAGTGAGTCTCTCATGAGCGATCTTCTTACACACCAGTGGCTCCAGCAGAGGAACCTCCTCCATGCGCGGGCACAGCAGCGTGCCCAGAGTCTTAGCGGCATCCGCCTTGGCTGTCCGCGCCGCAGAGCTCAGCTGGTTGAGCTTGTCGCTACTCTTGCTGCTGATGTGGCCCATGCTGTGGTTGCGTTTGTGGTCCTTCTCGTGGCGCTCCTTGCGTGTTTCATGCAGCGACAGTGTGGCAAACTTGCTGACACCCGTGGCGATGAAGGCGCTGTCTATGATGCTGCTTCCTTTGCTGCTCATGTGGCTGTTAGGCGTGGTGCTGCCACCTGCAGGGCCGGAGGAGTGCGGCAAGCTGTTGGAGCGCGGCAGAGGGGCGGGGAGTGAGTTAGCGGGGGCGCCACTGTTACCACTACTACTGCTCATGGTGTTGTTGCCATTGGTGCCAGGTGGGTTAGTAGTAGCAGTAGTAGCAGTAGTAGCAGCAGTAGTAGTAGTAGTAGTAGAGGTCGCCCCAGTAGCTGGGGGGCTGGTGGCACTCATGACGTTAGTGTGAGTCCTGGTGCGTGACAAGGGCAGGTGGGGGAACAAGATGTCCTCAGTCAGGTCCCACAGACACAGCTGGGTGTCCTGGCCCACCGAACCAAAGCGATAGGTCACGCTGACCGGCCTGCCGTCTGTAGAGTTCCTCTTGGAGAGATGTGATTGGGAGCTGTTGGCCCGGTCCCGCCCCCCTGCAAAATGGATCTGCTCGTGGAACTCCTCATCGCTCCCACTGAACTCGGCGGGAGGGTCGCTGTCCTCCACGCTGGTCGTACAGTGGTCGAACGCCACTACGCTCACCCACGACTTGTGGCCGTGGCCCCTGGCAATCACCCTGCAGTCTGAGAAGGACCAGACTGTCACCAGGTCGTCCTCCCCCCCAGCCACTATGTAGCGTCCGTCCGGACTCCAGCACACACAGAGCAGCCCACCGAAGTAGCTCTTCATGGTGCCATGAAGCTCGGCCGCGTCGAAGCTGAACACGCGCAGGAAGCCGTCCTGACTGGCACACGCCAGGAACTTCCCGTCGGGGGAGAAGGCAAACTCGTTGAGCGCCCCCTCACCCACCGTCCAGCGCAGTAGGGGGTTGCGGGCAGACTTGCTTTTGCAGGTGTGCACAGCGTAGCCATCGCCCTGTTTAAGGAGCTGGTAGTGGGGTGGCGTGGTGCCACAGGTGTGCTCCACGTTGTACAGGTAGAGACTGCCGCTGGAGTGAGCCACCAGGAAGAGGCTCTCTGAGCCAGGGACCCACCGCACACACGTCACACGAGACTTGTCTATCAGTCTCTGAGGGTAAGAAAGGGAGAGAGAAGCTTGTTAGGGAGAGATGTAGACCTGAGTGTTGTCAGACATGCATTGAAAAGAAAACATTTTAAACAGAGGACATGCTACCTGAACCTGTCTAATAACACTACGGCTACGTTCCAATAGCCACACTACCATAACACCTAAATGGATGCCCAACACATTGTGTGGATGTGGGAACGGAACCTTAATATTCTCATTTTGCATTTGAAAACAGTTTCCTCCCAGGAGTCAGCCACATACATTGATATTCAACCACAGGACACCCATCTTAGCCAGTGAGGCTAAAGTGAACTCTGCTGAACCCACCTCCTCATTGAAGAGCTTGCTGGTCTCCTTCTTGATAGGGTCGATGAGCTGTACCTGGCCAGCCGAGAAGCCCACCAGCAAGGAGACACTCTCTGCCGTGGCCGTGAGGGGGTTGAAGTCATGACACGTGGGCTGCGTTCCTTTGTAGATCCGCTTGTCTATGGGCTTGCTCAGGTCAGCAGCCTTGTGGAGAAACACAAGACACACAGTCAGACTCACACATAGCAATTATCTTTGTTCAACATACACCTCAGTGATTTTACAAGGCCACTCCTGTCACTATAACACCTGCAGATAATGCACTGACCTAATGAGAAACAATGGTATTGCAACAGTATAGGCCTATTAGCCAACTGAAATAGAGACATGAAAGCATTGGACCTCAAGTAGCCTCACACCCACCTCCCATTCCTTCTCTCCAAGGACTTCCACCATCCTTCACACAATCTTCCCCAAAAACACCATCCCGGTGACCTATAAATCATGACCTAGCAAGTAGCATCCTTCTGTCAAACTTGCCCAAGGACAATTATGTCAAGGGCATTAGAGGTATCGCACGTCTGCAAATACAACTTTATTAGGCTACCTCAGAGGCACCAGACGCTGGTCCTGTTGCCCCGGACAATCCTTAGCCACGGCAGGCGAGAGAGAGAGAGCGAGAGAGAGAGAGAGATCCACTCCAGTGGGGGAATGTAGGTTACCTTGCAGTGCCAGTGTCTACCAATAGTTGTCTAGGGCAGAGACAGGCCTATAGGGAGTCAACTTCATTCTAACCAGAGAGATGCTTCTGTATAAACACTGTGAGAGGGGTAATTTATGTCGTAATTGAAAAGCTGTTGTCAAATTCTTGGGTGTAAAACATCTAAGAGCACTGGGTTTGTGGACAGCTGGTACGTACAGTTGGACGCTGCAGATGGATTTGAGCCCCTATATTGATGATGATGAGGGACAATCGTTTTTCCTGTCAGCGTGAACTGACCAGGAAAACCTCCTGGCCCTAGTTTTATAACTGGGGTCCAGACTTGAAGTGTTTCTTAGGAAATCCAGGAAACCTCCTTGCCCAAGGGTTGATACTGTAGGATCCAGTCTGTGACTCTACTGGTCTAACTCAGGGTTTCCCAAACTAGATCCTGGGGCCCCCCCTGGATACACATTTTAGTTTTTGCCCTAGCACTACACAGGTGATTGATAATGTGTAGGTTATTTGAATCAGCTGTTTAGGGCAAAAACCTAAACGTGCACCCAGAGGGTCCCCATGACCGAATTTGGGAAACCCTGGTCTAACTGAGTAGAGGACCATTGGAGGCAGTGACGGAGATTATAAGGCTATGTCATAGGACTGTTGACAGATCTATCAGAGCAGGGCCAGCACTAATGCAATTAGGATCTTTAACACACTTTGATATGCCAAGAATCCATGCTGCCCCAAAGCCCTGGACAAACCAATAGCTATAGCCCTATTCTATCCACGGGACTTGAACTTTTACTCATGTGAAACTCATAAGAGACAGGTAATTGACATAGCCTAGCCTATGTCTCTGAGTTCCATACCTTGCTGATCTGTGTACCATCATCAGATGAATAATACCATGACAAATTCAATCACACACCAAGGACCACAACAGGGGTCACAGATATGCTCCCTAGCAGACCTGCTAACTATGAGCTCCTGCATATGAGAGATGACAGTGAGTGAGTGACTGCACACCAGGGTCAGTGGCAACAAAGAACCATTTTGCCAATTAGGCTAGAGGATGCTTAGCCTTCGGCCTCCTTGTCATCAACTGAGAAATGTCCTCACAGACAAAAATATAATCCAATGCCACCATCAAACTAATTAGGAGATTTCAACACAGACTAGGCTATGTCCTAACTCTTTGGTAATGAGCGAGGGACTGTAGGCCTATTCACAAAACCGACCCACTGGGCTCGCTCACATCTCAGCTGTTTGCTCGGTTTTCTAGCCAGGCAGCAGCTCTTCTGTCCTATACCTGAGGGGTATACTACAAAGCAGAACTAATGAGTTAGCCAGCTAACTTTAAACAACCAGAAATTACCATTGATTTTCTGGTTCATTAAGAAAGCTAAAATGTTGGTTGTTGAGACAATTAGACCATGCCCATTTACAGCGTATCTTTTTTTTTTTTTTTTTATCATAATAGTTAGGCAAGTTAGCTGGCTAACTCATTGATCCTGCTTTGTAGAATACCCCTCTGGTCTTCTTCACTGATTACAGGAAGGACTAACTCTGTAGCTCAATTGGTAGAGCATGGCGCTTGTAAGGCCAGGGTAGTGGGTTCGATCCCCGGGACCACCCATACGTAAAAATGTATGTACACATTACTTTAAGTCGCTTTGGATAAAAGCGTCTGCTAAATGGCATATTATATATTATATTATTGATCCTGCTTTGTAGAATACCCCTCTGGTCTTCTTCACTGATTACAGGAAGGACTACACAGTCCAGTCCCGTGGCTATTGCCAAATACCCCAGTATAAAGGTACATACCACATACGCCTAGCTTCTTCCAAAATCAACCTTCTCTTGGTAACAGCAGAGAATCCCCTCCTGGATCAAGAGCCTTCCTGTGTAATATTTGTTTTGTGCGTGCAACAAACTGAGTAGCATTTGAGTTGCATGTATATCTTTATGAGCTAGGATGTCTGTCCTGCAAATACTTTAGGTCAGAGACTGTATAAAATGTTTTCAATGCGCTCGTTAGCATTTAGTTAGCATTCTCTATGGGGTTTTACATGTACGTGTTAGCATTGCTAACGTTCGGATTACAGAGGCTCAGTGGGGTTTGAAAATAGCGCCCCTTGTGCTGATATTACCGAATATCGCGGGATGGCACAAGGTCAGTATGAACAACAATCTGGATACCGTCCAAGCCTACTAATCACATTGCTAGATGTCTACTAAATTAGCAGACCAAATGCACAACTGCAGAGCATTTAGCACATTTTAGACAGCTAACTTAACAGTTACAAGATATCTAGCTGGCAAACATTTAGTTGTGAATTCCATACTGTAACTATATCACCTGGTGCGTGCTGCACAACAGTGAGTGACTCAGAAGGCTCTGGTCCCTCGTTGTTGTGTGCTTGTAAACAAACACCACGTGACTGGGGACTACCGGTAAACTTGATGATGAAACATTATGTGACAGGTGAAATTAACATATTGCACAAGTTGACTGCAGTTATTTACTTAAAAAGTAGCTACAATTATTCAAATGTATTATAAAACTTTGAAGACATAGTTTCAACAGTATTGAAAAACTATGCCATGGCTATTTCCAAATCCCCCCGTATATGGTATACCGCCCAAGCCTACATAGTCAGAAATACTTGCAAAAATTGAGGTGACAACTTGCAAGTGTTAAAATATCTTACAATGTCCCACACAGATCTACTCCATCCTAGATGTGTACCATAAGTCCCCCATGTTAAAACCAAAATGGCCAACACAGCAAATCCTGGAAGCAGTCCAACATATTCTTCATCATAACAATAGAAAGCCCCTAACAGCCACAACACAATATAAGTTACTGGTGTCTGACAATGTGATATAAGTTTCACGTGTTTTATGTTTTGAGCAAGTTTAGAACTGTGAGGACACAAACAATAGGTCATATGATTATCATCGTCATTATCACTAGATGCCTTAAACAGCTCGATGCAGTGACATCATCCCTGCCACTGTCAGACGCAGACAGACCACTTGCATGACATCATCATCCCGAAACACAGCTAACTTCCAACCAAACACCCTTTCGCAATAAACAGTACCAAGCTGGCTTTGGGTCCTGGAAGGACCAGTATCGGACACATAACTAGTTTTCTATACAGTAGTTGAGTATTCTATGATTGCAAAGAACCGGTGCAGAGTTAATAAAACAAGTGCACTAAAAACACACCACTGTTGTCAGTTATCACGCTAACCTCAAAAGACACAATATGTAAATTATTAACGTGTCGCATTTAACGTACTCTGCAACTGCAGAATATGTCAATCAACATGTCAGAACTGCCCACGCTCCAAGGTTAAAGCGTGCATATTCACATAGCTATCCCACAAGAGTAATAAACAGTCCACTATAAGATTGCCCTTCACTTGATTCGAACTGGTTAGTTGGCTAGCTAGGTGGGTGACATGCACATACCAGCACATCTCCACAAGGTGCGGGCAAAACAAACTGTGGCGATGCTACTAACTAGCTAGTTAGCCACCATAGCTAAGTGGCCTGGTCTGGCTAGCTATCTGCGCACGTCAGTGAAACTACCAATCTGGACAGCACATTGCTATGCGTTTGAACAGGCACATGAACTTCTTAATAATACAAACTTTATCATCGTTGAGTGCTGTTTACCTTTCTTACGCCTTTGTAGATATAAAAGTACAGTTCCCGGCCCACATTGAAACAGATTCTGTCGCCGTTGCCCGACTGGTCGTTCACGTTCACGAAGGAGACTTTCACCGGATTTGAGCCCTGTGAATTAAAAGGCACCCTGTTAGGGCGGCTATATTCGGAGTGAGTGAGGAGTTTATAGACACCTTCCCGAGTGGTGAATTGAGTTTTAATTTCGTTCATCTCCTTCCCTCCTCCCTCCGCCGCCATCTTGGAAATTGGCGTTCATCCTGTCCAAAACCCGGATCTTACGAATTATGTGTATAAACCCTGGAATATGTTTAGGTGGCGCTGTATTGAAGCCACCGCGCAGCCATCTTGGTACTCCTCCTCCGTTGTATATATATATATTTTTTAAAGCAATATAATCAAATAAAATCAAACGTTATTTGTCACAGGCGTAGACCTTACAGTGAAATGCTTACTTACAAGCCCTTAACCCAACAATGCAGTTTTAAGAGAAATAAGTGTTAAGAAAGTATTTACTTGAAGAAAAAAATAAAATGAACAAAATATATTATTTAATAAATATATTAATATTAATATCAATATCCATGCATTTATTAATGTCTAAATTCGTTTTTGGCACGTGTATTCTATTACAGACACCTTAATGCATACTTCAAAATTATATTATGTGAGCTAAACATTTAAAAAAAAAAAATATATATATATATATATATATATATAAATATATATATATATATATATATATATATATATATAGTATATATACAGGATATATACAGTCTATCAAATATAAATATATTTTTATATATATAAAAACATTTTCCTTCAATACTTTTTTTTTTTTTGTACTAATGTTACTACCCCCACTACAACAAAACATACTTAAATACATGTAATTTTGTCCTTGAAACGTTTAATTGAAATACTGTAGAATTCCATTCATACCTATGGAGGACTGCTCCTACTGGGGAGTATCAATATGGCCGACCGGTGGCTTCAAAGCCTCTCAATGGCCAATACAAAGCGTAGCAATCCAGGGTTTATTTATACACTACTGGATCTTACCAACAGAATGTGCGCTCCTCAGTTGAGTCCAGAACCCATGCGCTTAAAGCTTCAAATAAGTAATGCTTCCGTTTAGCGAGGGAAGTGAGGAATTTGATGAGGCAAAATACATTTATAAACCCTTGACAAAATGCATGTAATAGTTTGTCTAGCTAGCAAAACGTTCCTGTGGAATTGCATGGGATGTATACTTTCTTATTGTGGAGAATGCGGTCCTTCAATCATGGTTTACCTAAGCCCAAAGGCCGGCAGATGGCGATAATGAGTCGTTTCATTTTACGGTTCAAAGGCACATGTATGAAACGTATGAAACCATGTATGAAATGAAACCATCCAAAGGTAAGATGAAACGGCTGAATATCGCCATCTGGCGGCCTTTGGGCTAGGTAGACCTTCATGCTAAAATAATCACGATAAAAACGCTCGCGAATGCTGCAAATTTCGAAGTCGTTCTAAAAAAGTAATTTTTTTTACAATTGTGAAATGTATATTCAGGTTGTTTCATTAATTTGATCGAGCCTACTACATTACTGTACTCCCGAGTGGCGCAGTGGTCTAAGGACCTGCATCTCAGTGCTAGCTGTGCCATTAGAGATCCTGGTTCGAATCCAGGCTATGTCGTAGCCGGCCGCGACCGGGAGACCAATAGGGCGGCGCACAATTGGCCCAGCGTAGGGGAGGGAATGGCCGGCAGGGATGTAGCTCAGTTGGTAGAGCATGGCGTTTGCAACGCCAGGGTTGTGGGTTCGATTCCCACAGGGGGCCAGTATATAAAAGAAAAAAAAGAGAGTCTGCTAAATGATTAAAATGTAAATTATTTTCCTCTGTAGCCCACTCTGCAACATCAGATCTCTATTTTATCTGATCACAATTTCTCTGAATTGAAAATAACTCATAAACAGACAACACATAACCCAAATCTAAGGACACGCGTGAATTAATTACATACGTTTATTACCATTCAAATTGCATACTCGAGTCATCCAGTCCTAATCATCAGAGTTGCAAGCGACTAGATGTATTCCTTACTGTTCATTATTTGTCCCGTCCATAAGTTCCCCATATCATGATCTGAGTCAAAATCTAATTGTTCTGTCTCCTCTTGATGCTTCCAGCCATCAGGGGAGATACAACTTCTCCAAACAACTAAATTAGATATGTAGTGCTTTACTCGCCTGTTGCTAATAGTGCCATCCTCTGGGCAGTCTCCCGTCAAACACACATGCCTGAGAATTCTGGTCTTTTCCATAATTTTCTGTGTGTTTCATGATTTGACATGAGTCTTACCATGATGACTTCTACAAATTGAGACATGAGTTACATCGTACTTCATTCTCCATTATATGCATTTTGTCATTTCAAATCAATGAAATCAAATTGCATTCGTCATGCTTTCGTAAACAACAGGTGTAAACTAACTTACAAGCCCTTAACCCAACAATGCAGAGAAAATAGCCTACTGATGTTGCACTCAAACAAAATCAATATATTGCACATCTTGTTTATATCATCACTATAACTAAATTAGCAGTAGTGTCACCGTTAGGACACAAACAATGCCCTCTTGTTGGGATAAAACCACACAAAAGAGTGTCTTTCTATAGACCTGCATGTGTATTAAGGATAGACGGGATGAAAGACTGTAGAAGTAAACTCTGTAACCAATCTCTCAACACAGTTGCTGTGGCCTGGAACTGAACCATTACTCTAACACATCAGCTATTCTTTCCCAATCTCACCGGCCAAAAAAAGACTTGTGGCCTGTTATCTTTTCGGAGGCCTTCTGCCCTGCGTCTGTCTGTCCGGATGGTTCTGGTGGGAGCAGGTGGTTGGAAAGGCTATGCTGACAGGCCATGGGGGTGTATGGTGGGGCCTGGTTGGCCCAGGCCTGACACACGCTATCAGGACGCCTCTGGCCCCTGAGTGACAGGCACCCCTTGTGACTGTGCTGCCCTATAAGGACACATGCGGTTTATGGTGACGGACCCCTCACAGCTCTCACTATCTCCCCCACCCTACTGGTCCTTTCTTTAGCCCCCCCTCTCTCTTACTCTGTACTGTAGTGGGACTGAGCATTCCTTCTGGAAGCTTCTGAATGGGAGCTTCGAGAAAGCCGCCCCTTGTATAAAAAGACAGGAGTAGGCCCAGGGGTCCTCAGATACAGCGAATGAGAGGACATTCACCTGAATCCATAGAGGATTAGGACCAGTGAAATACAGAGATTTAAATACTAGATTAATCTGCAGAGGAACAGCAGAGACGCTCTGAGATTCAATCTACAGCGATCAGCAAACGCGAAGTGAAGCACAGGAGCACATTCTTATCTATTCAAGGTAAGAGGGAGGGGTGCAAGGAAGGTCAATAGACAGTATTCTGGAAATACATTATGCATTAATATTATATAGTTGAAACACCAGCAGGAAGCAAGCAGCCTACATTATGTTGGTATATGGAATAATGTATCTTGGGGAAGTATTGCACTGTATAAATCTGAAATGGCATTAAATCAGTGGGGACACTTTAACAGACAGTTTTCCTGGGTCTGGTAGAACCCTTTGTGAGAGCATGGCAGGAGATGAGCACATGGCATGGAATATGACCCTGGTTAGAGGGAGAGAGAGACATGACAGCTGAAGAGAAGAGAGGCCTGGCATTCGGCACAAAGAACAATTACAATCAAGTTATCTATAACAAGTTATCAAAGAATGCAATTATCAGACCTGAAAGTGTCTTAGACCAGAACCTATATAGTTCATATAGTCAGTTTGAAGCCAAGGGCAAGGATGGATTCATAGATTCATTGATCTGGAAAAAGTAGTTTTATGAAGCCTTGATATTTTTTATGGATAAGCAGCTGCTTTAGGAAAAAGTGTCTTCAATTGGGAAGAGTGTTAATGGCATTTGATGAATAATTCTCAGTATATCAGTGCTTTAAAACAATCAGGACTTTTAAGAGCAACTATAATAGTTTTGCTGAAATTGAATAACACACAAAACCCTAGAGTAGAGATGACAATTCCATGCTGAAGACATAATAAAACTCAACATTTCTCTATTCAAGACAAAAGTCTTACTTCATGTTAATCCTCAATTTCAAAGAAAGGTTATCACATTCACATGGCACCACTACAGCTGTTGGCAAGGGGGTGTGAAGTTTCTGGAAACTCCACCCTCTTTTCAAATGGCAGAGGCCTTGATTGACAGATGGGGCCGGTGCAACAGGAGCCTCTGATGGAGGGCTGTAACAGCTGCCTTTCTTCCTCAGCATATCTATCCCTCGTTGCCATGTGGCTGACTAGACTTGAGGCTTTCTAGAAAAAAGCAGGTGTCTCTGGATGTTAAAAGCTTAAAAAAAAAAAAAGTAAACATTTCCGGCAATTACTATTTGTAAGCTACTATAAGTTTTATTATCTTCTATTTCGCTGAAGCAAGACTTATTGCAAAATGCAGCAAAAAGACTCAAGTGCTTTTAAAAAACATGTCTTCTGAATAGCCTTAATACAAGGATATTCAGCCATTCTTAGGATAATAAAAGTACAATTAAAGGCATTTCAATGTCTGCCATTTTGTTTCTCCAGATGCCAGAGAAAGCCGGCCACACCATGGAGGAGGAAGTGGAGACCTTTGCCTTCCAGGCTGAGATCGCCCAGCTGATGTCCCTGATCATCAACACCTTCTACTCCAACAAAGAGATCTTCCTTAGGGAGCTCATCTCCAACTCCTCAGATGTGAGTAGATTAATCATAACACTGAATTATAATAATAATTAGCAGACGCTCTTATCCAGAGCGACTTACAGGAGCAATTAGGGTTAAGTGCCTTGCTTAAGGGCACGTCGACAGATTTTTCACCTAGTCGGCTTGGGGATTAGAACCAGCGACATTTCGGTTACTGGCACAACGCTCTTAACCACTAAGCTACCTGCCGCCCAATTGTCCCATGTAACATTTTACCTTAGTAACCAACCACTCATACACTGCACTCTGAGCCAATATAAGTTATAGCTCAGAGTTAGCCTGCTAACCACCTTGATAAATTAGCTCAAGCTATCAACCATGAGACTTCCTTTGACCGTTGTGACCTATTTTTTTCATGTTCTGACAGGCTTTGGACAAGATCAGATACGAGAGCTTGACAGACCCCTCCAAATTGGATTCCTGCAAGGACCTGAAGATCGAGGTCACCCCTGACCTGCGCACTCGCACCCTGACCCTGGTTGACACCGGCATCGGCATGACCAAGGCCGACCTGATCAACAACCTGGGAACCATCGCCAAGTCTGGCACCAAGGCCTTCATGGAGGCCCTGCAGGCTGGAGCAGACATCTCCATGATCGGGCAGTTCGGTGTGGGTTTCTACTCAGCCTACCTGGTGGCTGAGAGAGTGACTGTCATCACCAAGCACAACGATGATGAGCAGTACATCTGGGAGTCTGCAGCTGGTGGCTCCTTCACTGTCAAAGTTGACACTGGTAAGCCTTTTCAACAGTATTGATTAATATGCTACTACAAACACTTTTCTCCAATACAACACTATAAACTCTCTTCCTGCATAAGTTGAATCTGCTGTACAACAATGTCATTCTAAAGGTAGTAAGCCTAGATCCAATGTGTGAGTCTGATTTGTCTGATCTGAAGGTGAGTCCATTGGCCGTGGCACCAAAGTGATCCTGCACATGAAGGAGGACCAGTTTGAATACTGTGAGGAGAAGCGCGTCAAGGAGGTCGTGAAGAAGCACTCCCAGTTCATTGGCTACCCCATCACACTCTATGTAAGTTCTAATAGAGCTCTATATTTCATTGGTTGTAACAATGTAGCAAAAATAATGGGGAGATTAACTGAAATATACTGTATAAACTAGGAAAGTAACCTGTCGATAACAGTGGACCCAAACATTGCTCCCCATAGAGGGCAAATCCTAAAACGTTTTAATAACATGAACATTTTTATCAAGGTGGAGAAGTCTAGAGAGAAGGAGGTGGACCTTGAGGAGGGAGAAAAGGACGAGGAGGTTGATAAAGACGCTGCAGCTGAGGACAAAGACAAGCCCAAGATTGAGGACGTTGGCTCTGATGAGGACGAGGACACCAAGGACAGCAAGAACAAGAGGAAGAAGAAGGTCAAGGAGAAGTACATTGACGCCGAGGAGCTGAACAAGACCAAGCCTATCTGGACCCGTAACCCTGATGACATCACCAATGAGGAGTACGGCGAGTTCTACAAGAGTCTGACCAACGACTGGGAGGACCACCTGGCTATCAAGGTGAGTCTATGATGGCAACCCGAAAACTCAAAACTTATGGGTTTATCTTGATCCAACCTATGAATTAATATATTATTATGACTGTATGAGTCAACGTTTATCTCTTTATTCCCACAGCACTTCTCAGTAGAGGGACAGCTGGAGTTCCGCGCTCTGCTCTTTGTGCCCAGGAGGGCTTCCTTCGACCTCTTTGAGAACAAGAAGAAGAAGAACAACATCAAGCTGTATGTGCGCAGGGTCTTCATCATGGACAACTGTGACGAGCTGATGCCAGAGTATCTCAGTGAGTACTGTTCCTTGAACCTTTCATGGATACCTCCTGAGCACCTCACTCAACCAGGACTTTAAGTAAAGCTGTAAGTAAGATGTCTGACCAATTGTCTCTGTCTTTCTCTTCAGACTTCATCAAGGGTGTGGTGGACTCTGAGGATCTCCCCCTGAACATCTCCAGAGAGATGCTGCAGCAGAGCAAAATCCTCAAGGTGATCCGCAAGAACTTGGTCAAGAAGTGTATAGAGCTTTTCATCGAGCTCTCAGAGGACAAGGACAATTACAAGAAGTTCTACGAGCAGTTCTCTAAGAACATCAAGGTAAGGTCTTCCTCCCTTTGAAATGGCTTTTCCATGTTTCCGCAGATCTTCTCCCAGAACTTCTCCTTCTCTTTTTGAGGGACCTTTAGCTTTAACATCTTCCATCTGTGTGTGCCCTTTAGCTGGGAATCCATGAGGACTCTCAGAACCGCAAGAAATTGTCAGACATGCTGCGCTACTACACCTCTAACTCCGGTGACGAAATGGTCTCCCTGAAGGACTACGTTTCCCGCATGAAGGACACCCAGAAACACATCTACTACATTACTGGTGAGCTACCCTCCATTGAAAACTTGAGAAAGAAACAGGGCAATCTAACTGTTAATAACTGTGTATCCTATTCTAGGTGAGACCAAGGAACAGGTCGCCAACTCTTCCTTTGTGGAGCGCCTCCGCAAGGCCGGCCTGGAAGTGATCTACATGATTGAGCCGATTGATGAGTACTGTGTCCAGCAGCTGAAGGAGTACGATGGCAAGAACCTGGTCTCCGTGACCAAGGAGGGTCTGGAGCTGCCTGAGGATGAGGATGAGAAGAAGAAACAGGAAGAGCTGAATTCTAAATTTGAGAACCTCTGCAAGATCATGAAGGACATCCTGGACAAGAAAATTGAGAAGGTACCAGCACAATTTACCTGAACCTAATCCCTCTGCAATGGTCTTCACCTTTTAATATCAGACCACTTACAACAACCATCACTATGACTACTAATAATCTGTTGACAGGTTTCAGTGTCCAACCGCCTGGTCTCCTCCCCCTGCTGCATCGTGACAAGCACCTACGGCTGGACAGCCAACATGGAGAGGATCATGAAATCTCAAGCTCTCAGAGACAACTCCACCATGGGCTACATGACAGCCAAGAAGCACCTGGAGATCAACCCAACCCACCCTATTGTCGAGACTCTGAGAGAGAAAGCTGAGGCAGACAAGAACGACAAAGCCGTGAAGGACCTGGTCATCTTGCTGTTCGAGACTGCTCTGATGTCTTCTGGCTTCACACTGGATGACCCTCAGACCCACGCAAACCGCATCTACAGGATGATCAAGCTTGGCCTGGGTGAGTTGATCAAGCTTATTCGCCCTCAACATTTGTCTTGGTTGATGGGCTTCAAAGGCTCCTCCTAGAGCAATATACAGACAGGGCTGCAAACACCAAGTAACTGACAGAAATATCATGGTAGTACAATGGTAAGGAATATGGCTTTTGCTTTTCCCACACTTTGGCTGTCTGAATAGCAGTTTGTACACCAATTGAAGATGGTTTTATAATGTGGGCTATTTCTTCTCATCTATAGGCATCGATGATGATGACTCAGCAGTGGAGGACATCCTCCAGCCCAGTGAGGATGACATGCCTGTCCTGGAGGGAGATGATGACACCTCTAGAATGGAGGAAGTTGACTAAAAATATTACAGAAGTACATCATTTTTTCCCCTTTTAACTCATTATTTTGTAAGTAATTGTTGTTGCTGTCCCAAATAGACTTTCCCATTTACATTTTCCATGACTGTCGAGCTGTGAGGAAAGTATTGCATTTAATTCATCATTATTAATCAATACCATAATCATATAGTATATTGGCTGCTTTCAACCCTATTCAACTGTACTTTAATAATAGGCTATTTAATATCAAGTCAACAGGGATTTGACTTGTGTCTTTTTGTAACTGTGAGCTATTTTCTATGAAAAACAACAAGATTTATAATAAAGATGTATTTAGAAACATACCTTACATTTTCTCTTTCTGATTGATGATTCCTCTTTATCAAATAGTCTGGATTATTGTGATGTCAGGCATGTTTATAATTTACACAATTTAATATCTCAGAGATGGATGAATACTGAACTATTTATTTTGCATCTTCATTCATACTTTTGCAATCACCTTACCCTCTCCTAAGTGCTCCCTGTAACGACAGTATTTCAGATCTTTCTAGACCTTAGGTAAAAGTTTCGTTTCCTTGTGAATTCTTGTGAGTCATCATGATGATGAATATGCCATGTTAAGTACCAATGATTTATATTGGTATGTACTGTACCAATGACAGTTTGCATATATGAAGGAATTAACCCACTTGATATCGCCACGCCCATAAACCCGCCTTCACAAGAGTTGAACGCAAGAGGGACGTGAATAGAGATCTAGCGTTTGATTGACATTCCATCGCTCCTCTCAGTGCACACACTTATCCTACACACAGTAGAAGCACAGTTTAGGAAGAGTCCAGACGGTTCTAGAAGCAGAGGATTTCTCGAAGACTCAGCTGGTATAAAACCTTGCCAGTTGTCCTCCTCTCCACAGTCCACATCTCTGCTGTTAGCTGGCTAGGTTGTGTTTGGTCGGGGACCAACTTCTGAAGAAGAGTAAAGGGACATTTCCATCCACAGTAAGGTAAGACAGGATTGAAGATTTATATTCCAACACTAAGATGAGTGTCACTCTTCAATTCATACAGTCAGTGGTAGTCCAGTCTAACAAAATATATTGAAACAATTTTATCATTCTTTACCATCAGAATAATCCACCCAAAACATTATTTTGTTGCAATGAATTCCATTGTACTTTTCCTAATTTCCTTACGTTATTTCAGCATAGGCTATCATCCATACGTTCATATTCATTCTATTATGAAGCTGACCTATAAAACCTGCAATATATCCCAATTTGGGTCTTGGCTGTCTGTCTGCCACACTTTGATAATCCTTTTCCGAAGAGGATTTTCATTCACATTACTTCACGGTCGACACGACAACTATTCATCACAATTTGCTAATATTTCTTCAAAAAGGAAATTGATAAATATTCACATGAAACTCGTTATGGTACACATTGGCGAGGAGGAGATTGCGATATGATAGAAACGGATTATGCGCTGGTAGGTTCTAGAATCATGTTATTTACCGCGCGAACCGGCAGGTGGAGTATGTTTGTCCGCTGCACTTCAAGCCACGTGCTTTCGGTCAGGTTACACTGAGATTTGACGAATGAATGAATAAAAACCAATTAAATATATCCATCCCTCTAAAAACTATTAGTATTAGCGCATCGCATCATCATTATGTCTGGTAGTTACATAGCCAACCAGCAATGTGGAATGTAGAATATTCGACTCTATTTTATTCTATTATTGTACGCCTGTTCAGAGTAGAAAATGATCCATTGATGGTGTGCCTATCAATGTCCTTACAAGGAATTTATTTCAGTTTATTTTGTTGAATACTTTGCACTATGAAATAACGATCTAAAATATAAAAGTAAAAATGTACTTACTACATTTGAGGAAAATATTTGGAAAAGTGTACATACTTATTTTTTAGGGGGTGGGTGGGGGGGGGATTATATTTATGACTGTGATATGTGGTAGTCTCACCTAGCTATCTTTAGATCAATGCACTAACCCTAAATCACTCTGGATAAGAGCGTCTGCTAAATGACTAAAACGTACATGTAAAAATAAAAGCAGTAAGCTCACCACGTGGCAAGGACCTGTGGCTTCTCACTTGGTGGATTACAGTAATGAAGTCAATGCAGCAGTGAGGAACAGAGAGGACAGTCTGTTAAACACCATCTGTCTGTTTTAGCGATAAATCCCTCACAGGAACTCAATGAGGTGCAAGAGCTAGTGAGCCTACATGAAATGCCCAGTGCAGTCAAAAACATGATTTCCTGTGTTTTATATACACTATCAGTCAAAAGTTTGGACACACCTACTCATTCAAGGGGTTTTCTTTATTTGTACTATTTTATACATTGTAGAATAATAATGAAGACATCAAAACTATGAAATAACACATATGGAATCATGTAGTAACCAAAAGTGTTAAACAAATCAAAATATATAAGAAGAGACCTGCTTGGGCCAAGAAACATGAGCAATGGACATTAGACCGGTGGAAACGTGGCCTTTGGTCTGGAGTCCAAATTGGAGATTTTTGGTTCCAACCGGCGTGTCTTTGTGAGACGTGGTGTGGGTGAACGGATGATCTCCGCTTGTGTAGTTCCCATCGTAAAGCATGGAGGAGGTGGTGTTATGGTGTGGGGGTGTTTTGCTGGTGACACTGACTGTGATTTATTTAGAATTCAAGGCACGCTTAACCAGAGTGGCTACCACAGCATTCTGCAGCGATACGCCATCCCATCTGGTTTGGGCATTTTTTTTTCAACAGGACAATGACCCAACACACCTTCAGGCTGTGTAAGGGCTATTTTACGAGAGTGAAATAGCCCTTACAACGAGAGTGATGGAGTGCTGCATTAGATGACCTGGCCTCCACAATCCCCCGACCTCAACCCAATTGAGATGGTTTGGGAATAATATTGTGACATTTTGAAAATTATGATAATTCCCTTTGAGTGCAAGAGCGGTTTGAAAAGACTGCCTACCTGGTGACTTCACCAGGTGGTAAATTAGTTAAAGTTGCAATATGTAACTTTTTGGGTGACCTGACCAAATTCACATAAAAATGTGAGTTATAGATCTGCGTTCTCATTGAAGGCAAGTCTAAGAAGCGGTAGATCTGTTCTATGTGCGCTATTTTTATGCTTCCCGTTCTTAAGTTTCGTTTTTGCGTCTTACTTTCGTTTTTGTACACCAGCTTCAAACAGCAGAAAATTGTTATAGAATAAATATTTCACCGCGGCTTAGCTTGTACAATGATTCTCTACACTATACTTGTTTGTTTTGTCACATAAACTGAAATGAGGCAAAATATTAATATTTTTGCAACCGGAAATGCCGGAGTGATTTCTACATAGTACACCTTTAATAGGCCAATAAGAAAGATACTTCCAAACCTCTCTGCCAATAACATTTTTACATTTTAGTCATTTAGCAGACGCAATAATGGCTAGTTTTCAGTTTTCCACTCAGACCACTCCCAGACAGTCCTAGCAAAATGGCTCCTTGCTAAGAAGCTATTTTTTTGTTGCTTTTTGACCATTTTAATTGAAAACAATCACGGTAAGGTACTTCATTGTTACCCAGAAATTATTAGATTTTGAGATAAAAACAGCTGCATTGGACATTTGACCTTTAAGTCTGAAACTCACCGCCCAAATGTCAGTTCCAGCATTGTCTTATGGTTTTGAGAAAACAAGTATTGTGACATCCCTACTAGCCACTGACTGCCGCTGACCTGATGGAGCCGTCTGGACTGTCATGACCATTCTGTGACTAAAATACTGATACACAGTGGTTCATTTGGGGATGGAGTTGAAAAATGTTTTTGATGGTGATGTCAGATTGCACAACTTCGGCTGTTTTGCATTGTCTCCTTCTCAGTGTGTGTGTGTGTTGTCTCCACAGATGCCGGAAGCCCATGACGCTCCGATGGAGGAGGAGGCAGAGACCTTTGCCTTCCAGGCTGAGATCGCCCAGCTGATGTCGCTCATCATCAACACATTCTACTCCAACAAAGAGATCTTCCTTAGGGAGCTCATCTCCAACTCCTCAGATGTGAGTACTTCAGACACCACAGGCACTTAGACTACTTGGTAGTATTATTTGATGATTCATAAAATACACACAGGCATTTTACTTCAATTCCTTGTTTATTGCACCACTATTAATATTTTATTACATATCTATAGATTGTTTTGATTTATTCATATTTTATTACATTACACACAATGAAATATTGACGTAGCCTGCAGGATACATTTACATTTAATTAAGAGTTTTGTTAATCTCATGCTGAGGCCAGTGTGAAGTCAAAAGTCAGATTTATTTAGACCTATTTATTTACAATCAACTACTAGGCTCTGGACAAAATCCGCTATGAGAGCCTGACAGACCCGACCAAGATGGACTCTGGCAAGGACCTGAAGATCGAGGTCATTCCCAACAAGGAGGAGCGCACCCTGACCCTGGTTGACACCGGCATCGGCATGACCAAGGCCGACCTGATCAACAACCTGGGAACCATCGCCAAGTCTGGCACCAAGGCCTTCATGGAGGCCCTGCAGGCTGGAGCAGACATCTCCATGATCGGGCAGTTCGGTGTGGGTTTCTACTCAGCCTACCTGGTGGCTGAGAGAGTGACTGTCATCACCAAGCACAACGATGATGAGCAGTACATCTGGGAATCCTCCGCTGGCGGATCCTTCACCGTCAAAGTCGATACGTCAGGTAAAGACAGATTATAGTTTTACACTGAACTGAACCACTTAACTGTATGTTATGATATGAATCGGTGTGAACTGAAAATATTTGTAGGCCTACCGTTACAATATATGATGTAGGCCTACAGTTATAGACTGTTTTCCTTGTATGTTCTGTTCTAAATGCTGACTTGACTCCCATGTCTCTCTCTTAAAGCTGAGTCTATTGGTCGTGGCACCAAGGTGATTCTTTACATGAAGGATGACCAGACAGAATATTGTGAGGAAAAACGGGTCAAAGAAATCGTGAAGAAGCACTCCCAGTTCATCGGATACCCCATCACACTCTTTGTAAGAACTAGTAGGCGTGAGTGGATGAAATTATGTAACCAGTGTGAAATCAACCCCTAGATATAGTGGAAACTCCACTGAGTGATTACTAAGTTGTTGAAGTACATCTCAAGGATCCTTTCAGATTTGCATAAAAGAGGTGTCAAGGGAGGGGGTAGGAGGACATTTCAGATTGGACAAGTAAATGACTGGACGATAAATTGATGCTGATATCTTGACCCTTTTTCACTTTTTGCATTTTTATATTGAATGTAAAACAGGCACAGTGAATGAAATATTTTTGCCAACTGTAACTTACTGTACATCAACTCTATGAATGTGTCCCCTAACATTCCCATGATCCTCTCTGATCAGGTGGAGAAGGAGCGCGACAAGGAAGTGAGCGACGATGAGGAGGAGGGGGAGAAGGAGAAGAAGGATGGTGAAGAAGGAGAGGAGGACAAACCCGATATCGAGGACATAGGCTCGGATGAGGAGGATCACCATGACCATGATCATGGCCTCGACGGCGCATGTGGGGACAAGAAGAAGAAGAAGAAGAAGATCAAGGAGAAGTACATTGACCAGGAGGAGCTGAACAAGACCAAGCCCCTTTGGACCCGTAACCCTGATGACATCACCAACGAGGAGTACGGAGAGTTCTACAAGAGCCTGACCAATGACTGGGAGGAACACCTGGCTGTCAAGGTGAGGATATTCTATTTATATTGGCCAACAGAATACGTTTCCACACTGTTTATTTACAACGTTTCACTCTGATTTGTAAAGTCACAGGTAGTACCAGTATTGGTCAGTTAATAATGCTTCAGCTAATTTCATAATGACAAATACAGTATACATGTACACTACCGGTCAAAAGTTTTAGAACACCTACTCATTCAAGGGTTTTTCTTTATTTATATTTTATATTTGAGATTCTTCAAATAGCCACCCTTTGCCTTGATGACAGCTTTGCACACACTTGGAATTCTCTCAACCGGCTTTATGAGGTGGTCGCCTGGAATGCATTTCAATTAACAGGTGTGCCTTCTTAAAAGTTAAATTGTGGAATTTCTTTCCTTAATGCGTTTGAGCCAATCAGTTGTATTGTGACAAGGTAGGGGGGGGTATACAGAAGATAGCCCTATTTGGTAAAAGACCAAGTAAATATTATGGCAAGAACAGCTCAAATAAGCAAAGAGAAACGACATGTGATGAGGTGTGAATGACGGAGTCAGGCGCAGGAGGTAAAACACAGAAGTCAAGAGTTTATTCAGTGTACAATAATGTAGCGCATATAGCGACAGAACCAAACTAGCACAAGGGGAAATCAACCTTGGCTGCATACAAGTAAAGAGTAGCTCAACCCAGCTACTCACTCTCACAACCACCCAGCTCTTGAACTCCTTCAAGACTGTTGGAAAAGCATTCCAGGTGAAGCTGGTTGAGAGAATGTCAAGAGTGTGTGAAGCTGTCATCAGAAGAATCTCAAATATAAAATATATTTTTATTTGTTTAACACTTTTTTGGTTACTACATGATTCCATATGTGGTATTTCATAGTTTTGATGTCTTCACTATTATTCTACAAGGTAGATAATAGTAAAAATAAAGAGAAACCCTTGAATGACTAGGTGTTCTGAAACTTTTGACCGGTAGTGTACATGAAGGTTTTTGAATTCAGTTGTTGACCTTCTGTTTGTTTTCTTCCACAGCACTTCTCAGTGGAGGGCCAGCTGGAGTTCCGTGCCCTGCTCTTTGTGCCTCGCCGCGCACCCTTTGACCTCTTTGAGAACAAGAAGAAGAAGAACAACATCAAGCTGTACGTCAGGAGGGTCTTCATCATGGACAACTGTGACGATCTCATCCCTGAGTACCTCAGTAAGTCAGACAGAACTGAAGTAGATGCTCACATACAGTAGGTTTGGGAATGATTAACACAGCTATAATCTCATCTGACCAATATTGTCTCTGTCGTTCTCTCCAGACTTCATCAAGGGTGTGGTGGACTCTGAGGATCTCCCCCTGAACATCTCCAGAGAGATGCTGCAGCAGAGCAAGATCCTCAAGGTGATCCGCAAGAACCTGGTCAAGAAGTGTATAGAGCTTTTCACAGAGCTCTCAGAGGACAGAGAAAACTACAAGAAGTACTACGAGCAGTTCTCCAAGAACATCAAGGTCAGTTTCATACTAATGTGACACTGTAAACATAGTAATAATGGATTGTATTATTTATACAGAGCTTCTCACTAGTTCTCTGACAATTGATGTGTAACAGCAGCACCCACCACATGGGTGATGCACGGCAACCATTTTGTGCCAGCATGTTCACCACACATCAGCTATCATTATTATGTACATTACCTTCAAGGTCAGCCTGAACTGAACCTAGGTTGCGACAGTCGCCTTGTATTTAGTGGTATAATAGGATGTGGAAGACAATCTAGGTGGACACTTGTCATATCACCACCTGTTCTTTGAAGAATCCTTGGGGAACATTCTGAAAGGTGTAGCTATAGAATGTTCCACTAACCTTTAACTGGCTGCCACCTGTCTGATCCCCTCGCCATCTTGTCTCCTCTAAACCTGATATAAGCTGCTTAGGGCTCCTTACCGCCACCTTCTGTCTTGCTGGAGTGGGTTTTTATGACTAGGGTCAGGCTCTATGGCATATTGTTACAGTTATTGCATAAATCTTAAGGTAAGCCTTGGATTACATGTTAAAACAATCTTCAGGGGGCACATCTTTCTCATGTCCTCTGAAATTATGTGAAATCTGGCTCTAATCTTAAAGGGGACGTTTACCCCCCATTTTTACATAGTTAGACAAGCTTACTGACACAAGGCAGCATACAAGCCCCTTCTTGATATCATATTTGTCAGAACTTTGGGTTACTTCCTGGAAAATGTAAAAGTCTCGTAACGCATCAAGATACTTTCTGGGCAAATTGTTATTTAACTGATCTCTCCTGTGTTTTCTTTCCCAGCTGGGTATCCATGAGGACTCTCAGAACCGTAAGAGGCTCTCAGACATGCTACGCTACTACACCTCAGCCTCAGGGGACGAAATGGTCTCCCTGAAGGACTATGTCACACGCATGAAGGACACCCAGAAACACATCTACTACATCACTGGTGAGGAAACGCACTCCTCTCTGTACAGCCCAGTTCATAGGTTGTCAGATTGTAAGAACCTGTTTGCTCAAGTTGCTTTACCTACTGCATGTTTCAGGCGAGACCAAAGACCAGGTGGCCAACTCGGCGTTCGTGGAGCGCCTTCGCAAGGCCGGCCTGGAGGTGATCTACATGATTGAGCCCATTGATGAGTACTGTGTCCAGCAGCTGAAGGAGTACGATGGCAAGAACCTGGTCTCTGTGACCAAGGAGGGTCTGGAGCTGCCTGAGGATGAGGACATGAAGAAGAGACAGGAAGAGCAGAAGTCTCAGTTTGAGAACCTCTGCAAGATCATGAAAGACATCCTGGAGAAGAAAGTTGAGAAGGTGAGATAACGCTTACAGATATCATGTTGCTGAAGCGGTCTGTTATTTTAAGGCAAATGTCGGGAGGCCTCACGTTACCTCAAAAAATGCCACCAATAAACGCCACTGTATTTACAGGCTCACTGACAGTACAACGATTGCCTGATTCAATGCTGTTCTGATCATCTCCCTAATAACCAACCTCTCCTATCTCCCCCCCCCCCCCCCTTTAGGTGACAGTGTCCAACCGCCTGGTCTCCTCCCCCTGCTGCATCGTGACCAGCACCTACGGCTGGACAGCCAACATGGAGAGGATCATGAAGGCCCAAGCCCTGAGGGACAACTCTACCATGGGCTACATGGCTGCCAAGAAGCACCTGGAGATCAACCCAGACCACCCCATCGTGGAGACCCTGAGGCAGAAGGCAGAGGCTGATAAGAATGATAAGTCTGTGAAGGACCTGGTCATTCTGCTGTTTCGAGACTGCTCTGCTGTCCTCTGGGTTCACCTTGGATGACCCTCAGACACACTCCAACCGCATCTACCGGATGATCAAGCTAGGCCTGGGTGAGTTGGTTTGCTCAAACAAGGACGATGTTTGCGATCAATGGTAGCCCCTTTGCCTGTAGTCCTTTTGTGTTTGCTGATCGGAAGGACCCATGTTTGTGTAATCAATGAGGTCATAATGGCTCCAGCTAGCCCTCCAGTATACTTTACTCAACATTAAGTGGCCTAGATATGAGAGAGAACCTTGTTAAAGCTTCAGTAACTGACCGTGACCCATTCCTCCCTCCCTTCCCCTGTACAGGTATTGACGAGGATGAGCTGACCCCTGAGGAGCCAACCTCAGCCCCCATCGAGGACATGCCTCCACTGGAGGGAGACGAGGACACATCCAGGATGGAGGAGGTCGACTAGACCAACCTGCTCAGCTGCTGTGTTACTGTAACTATGCCAGTTAGCTTTGGCACTAGTAGTGTTGACAGGATGACTTTGATGTTTGTTCATAAGCCTGGAATGTCCTCCCTTGCCCTCCTACTCGATCCAAAATCCCTTGACCCGCGTTGACCACATGCAGTTCAGATTCATTCCCCTAAACGTTAGTTTACTTTTTTTTATTTTGAAGAAAAACAAGAGCCTGTTGACACTTCTTTTTTTAAATCTTGAATTGTATCAATGCATTTTTGTATTTATTGACATTCCAACGTTCTTTTGTGTGTTGACTGTAAATATCTTCTCAAATTGATACTGTAACTTCAAATGGTGGGACCCAAAAAATAAAGTTTACCACGTTAACCAATTGCATTGCTTCATTTTGCTATTTATGTTGTCGACTGAAATGAGCTCTTCTAGAAGTTTACAAATACTCCAAAGTTTGAGGTGCTTAGAGACATAACGGTATACAGCTTCTTAGGTCACTTCGAGAGAGTAGGGTAAGTTGATTTAAAAAAATACATTCAGCATCACTCGGTCAAGGGAAATATAGTATTCTTACAAAGATATTTACATATCTCAGAATGTTGTGTATCCCTGGAAATAATCAGAATTCATGTTAACGTTACAGTTTTGAAAACAAGCTTGTCCAAAAAAAGTGGTCTCTTGGCACAACTTATCCCGGGACTGTGGTAAGTTGAGCCACGGGACAGGATAAGTTAAGCCACCTACACATTTCTGTTCTGAATGAAATATTACCACTATCTTTTTAAAACCTTGTCTATCTTTATTTCCCAAACTCAATTCAACATCATCACAATTGCTTTTTTGACGTAATCATTTTAAGCATATTTGAACACAGGCTTAACACCTTACAAACACTTTGTACTTTTTTAAAACACTTAACATAGGGCAGGCCCTGTTAACTCATATACCAGTGATAATGCCTTGCATTACGCCTGGGAAGAAAATGTTTCAATTTGCTCAACTTGCCATTGACTCACCCATTTGCTCAACTTACCCCATGGCCATTGGCTCAATTTACCCCAAGGCAAACATTTTGACTATATTAGCCCACAAAGCTACAAGGATGCATTTTCATGCTAGGTTTAGAATCTCATATAGAAGCTTATAGAGACCCCAACTGATGTATAGAACAATCTTAATTATCTACTTTGGTGTAGCTACAAGCGTCATGAAACCTCTAAGATAATGGTGGAGGGGATGGCTGTCGTTTTACGGGCTCCTAACCAACTGCGCTATTTTGTGTGTTTTTCCGCATTGTTTGTAACGTATTTTGTACATAATGTTGCTTCTACCGTCTCTTATGACTGAAATGAGCTTCTGGATATCAGAACAGCGATTACTCACCTCGAACTGGACAAAGATCCATCACACAGGCAAAGCTTCAATACAGGACTAAGATTGAATCGTACTACACCGGCTCTGACGCTCGTCAGATGTGGCAGGGCTTGCAAACTATTACGGACTACAAAGGGAAACTCAGCCGCGAGCTTCCCAGTGACGCGAGCCTACCAGACGAGCTAAATGCCTTTTATGCTCGCTTCGAGGCAAGCAACACTGAACCATGCATGAGAGCACCAGCTGTTCCGGACGACTGTGTGAGCATGCTCTCCGTAGCCAATGTGAGCAAGACCTTTAAACAGGTCAACATTCACAAGGCCGCGGGGCCAGATGGATTACCAGGACGTGTACTCAGAGCATGCGCGGACCAACTGGCAAGTGTCTTCACTGACATTTTCAACCTCTCCCTGACCGAGTCTGTAATACCTACATGTTTAAAGCAGACAACCATAGTCCCTGTGCCCAAGAAAGCAAAGGTAACCTGCCTAAATGACTACCACCCCGTAGCACTCAAGTTGGTAGCCATGAAGTGCTTTGAAAGGCTGGTCATGGCTCATATCAACACCATCATCACGGAAACCCTAGACCCACTCCAATTCGCATACCGCCCCAACAGATCCACAGATGACGCAATCTCAATCTCACTCCACACTGCCCTTTCCCACCTGACAAAAGGAACACCTATGTGATAATGATGATCATTGACTACAGCTCAGCGTTCAACACCATAGTGCCCACAAAGCTCATCACTAAGCTAAGGACCCTGGGACTAAACACCTCCCTCTAGTCGAGGTACTAATTACCTTGACTAACCTTATCCCCGCACATTGACTCTGTACTGGTACCCCCTGTTTACAGCCTCGGTATTGTTATTTTATTGTGTTACTTGTTATTTTATTTTTTACTTTAGTTTAGTAAATACTTTCTTAACTCTATTTCTTGAACTGCATTGTTGGTTAAGGGCTTGTAAGTAAGCATTTCACGGTAAGGTCTACACCTGTTGTATTTGGCGCATGTGACAAATTACATTTGATTTGCTTTGATTTGATTAGAAGACAATACATTAATTTGACTTGGTGAAGTTAAATTAATTTGTTTTTTGGATCTAATTTTCTTACCACTTTTTCCATGTTTCGTCCTCCACAGACTCCATGAACTGATGACCTCTTCCTAAATATTTGGTCAAATGATTAATGATATATTTTATGGGTGTCTCAACTTACCCCTTTGGCTCAACCTACCCCACTCTCCCCTACTGTGCTGAGAAATACTTTGCATTACAATCATTGTTTATGATAACAATTACACAGTTTTCACATAATGGCATAGTTGCATAGCATACAGTGAGGGAAAAAAGTATTTGATCCCCTGCTGATTTTGTACGTTTGCCCACTGACAAAGACATGATCAGTCTATAATTTTAATGGTATGTTTATTTGAACAGTGAGAGACAGAATAACAACAAAAAAATCCAGAAAAACGCATGTCAAAAATGTTATAAATTGATTTGCATTTTAATGAGAGAAATAAGTATTTGACCCCCTCTCAATCAGAAAGATTTCTGGCTCTCATGTGTCTTTTATACAGGTAATGAGCTGAGATTAGGAGCACACTCTTTTAAAGGGAGTGCTCCTAATCTCAGTTTGTTACCTGTATAAAAGACACCTGTCCACAGAAGCAGATGTATTTGTTGTTATTCTGTCTCTCACTGTTCAAATAAACCTACCATTACAATTATAGACTTTCTTTGTCAGTGGGCAAACGTACAAAATCAGCAGGGGATCAAATACTTATTTCCCTCACTGTAGCCTATGAATAGACACCACGAATGGAAGAGGAAGAACATTATGCACTACACAGTCTTGCATCAGAGAGCTTGGCCAACAGATGGCATCTGCATCTACTATGCTATCCCAAACAGACTAACAGAGATAGTTGTCATATTAAACATGATGATGAGAAACTACAATACAAGTACCAGCTACACTACCGGTCAAAAGTTTTAGAACACCTACTCATTCAAGGGTTTTTCTTTATTTTTACTATTTTCTACATTGTAAATATATATATATATTTTTTCACCTTTATTTAACCAGGTAAGCCAGTTGAGAACAAGTTCTCATTTACAACTGCGACCTGGCCAAGATAAAGCAAAGCAGTGCGATAAAAACAACAACAACACAGAGTTACATATGGGGTAAACGAAACATAAAGTCAAAAATACAAACAGAACATATATATACAGTGTGTGCGAATGTAGTAAGTTATGGAGGTAAGACAATAAATAGGCCATAGTGCAAAATAGTTACAATTTCGTATTAACACTGGAATGATAGATGTGCAAAAGATGATGTGCAAATAGAGATACTGGGGTGCAAATTAGCAAAATAAATAACAATAAGGGGATGAGGTAGTTGGGTGGGCTAATTTCAGATGGGCTGTGTACAGGTGCAGTGATTGTGTGGTGGGTAGTATATGGGGCTTTGGTGACAAAACGGATGGCACTGTGATAGACTACATCCAATTTGCTGAGTAGAGTGTTGTAGGCTAATTTGTAAATGACATCGCCGAAGTCAAGGATCGGTATGATAGTCAGTTTTACGAGGGCATGTTTGGCAGCATGAGTGAAGGAGGCTTTGTTGCGAAATAGGAAGCCGATTCTAGATCTAACTTTGGATTGGCGATGCTTAATGTGAGTCTGGAAGGAGAGTTTACAGTCTAACCAGACACCTAGGTATTTGTAGTTGTCCACATACTCTAGGTCAGACCCGCCGAGAGTAGTGATTCTAGTCGGGTGGGCGGGTGCAAGCAGCGTTCGGTTGAAGAGCATGCATTTAGTTTTACTAGTGTTTAAGAGCAGTTGGAGGCTACGGAAGGAGTGTTGTATGGCGTTGAAGCTCGTTTGGAGGTTTGTTAACACAGTGTCCAATGAAGGGCCAGATGTATACAAAATGGTGTCGTCCGCATAGAGGTGGATCCGAGCGTCACCAGCAGCAAGAGCGACATCATTGATATACACAGAAAATAGAGTCGGCCCGAGAATTGAACCCTGTGGCACCCCCATAGAGACGGCCAGAGGTCCAGACAACAGGCCCTCCGATTTGACACATTGAATTCTATCTGAGAAGTAGTTGGTGAACCAGGCAAGGCAGTCATTAGAGAAACCAAGGCTATTTAGTCTGCCAATAAGAATGCGGTGGTTCACAGAGTCGAAAGCCTTGGCCAGGTCGATGAAGACGGCTGCGCAGTACTGTCTTTTATTGATCGCGTTTATAATATCGTTTAGGACCTTGAGCGTGGCTGAGGTGCACCCATGACCAGCTCGGAAACCGGATTGCATAGCGGAGAAGGTACGGTGGGATTCGAAATGGTCGGTGATCTGTTTGTTAACTTGGCTTTCAAAAACTTTCGAAAGGCAGGGCAGGATGGATATAGGTCTATAACAGTTTGGATCTAGAGTGTCACCCCCTTTGAAGAGGTGGATGACCGCGGCAGCTTTCCAATCTCTGGGGATCTCAGACGTTACGAAAGAGAGGTTGAACAGGCTAGTAATAGGGGTTGCAACAATTTCGGCGGCTAATTTTAGAAAGAAAGGGTCCAGATTGTCTAGCCCAGCTGAT